TTGACAAAAAGGTTTGTCAATATTTATTAAAAATTATGTCAGAGGCAGACATTAATTATTTTGTGCCTTGTGCCAAAAGTTGACAATGATGTCCAAAAGGTTAATTTCGCAAGACGGAAATGTTAGTGAATAGTCGCAAAATTGTGTAGCATTCACCAACCAACCAACTAGGATCCTATTTTATTTATTTGAATACTGTAAGTTTTCCTTCCAAACTTTTGGGGCAACATTTTTATTAACTTTCTATAAGTTTTTCTAAAATGTTGACAAAATGGACAAGTTTTTCACTTGATCAACATTTTATGGAAACAAATAATGCAGGTTTATATTGTAAAGATAGACATAAGTTTGACGTTTAAAGGGTTGCGAAATTGGGAATTGGGAAAAACCAACCATATGTCTTCATCACAATCCCTGTCAGCGAGGAATCTCTATGCAAGTACGTTTGTATTTTTCGAAATGCAATTTCTAATTCTAAATGTATATTTCATCTCTAAATGTACAAACCATTTAAGCTGCCTGAAAAAAAACAACGGTATTAACGGTAAACTATTTTTAAACTACTAAGTTTGACTATAAAATGGACCGAGCAATCTATGAAAGATGTGTTGAAATATATTTTCACGGTTTGAAAATCAAACAGGTTGCTAGCTTTAGGTGAAATGACCCTTGACCAAGGTGGCGAGACACATTAACCTTTTATGAAGGGGGAGTGGGGGAAAGGGTCAATGTGTCATAGAAAATAGCAACTGAAAATAAACAATAAGAATTACAATAAATTTGTATTTATTAATTTTATTTATTTATAACCAATACTGGCAAATAACAGAAGTTTGTAAATTACTGTGGAATACTTTATTTTCGCTGGATTTAATTTTCGCTGAAAAGGCTTTTTAGGCATTTTGCTTGGAATTTATTTTCACTGATTTTTGATGAGTTTAATGTGAAATATAGGAAAAAAAATATATTCGCTGGATTTTATTTTCACGGAATTATCCCTTCAGCGAAAATTTATTCCAAGCGAAAATAAAGTATTCTACAGTACTTCAATATTAAAGCATATAAAGAAAAGAGCAACACACTTAAAATTAATTTAAAAACATTCAAAACTTTTAAAAAAGAAAAACCATCCCCCATCCTCAGTGACCTTGACAATGACTATCCCATCCTTAGTGACCTTGACAATGACTATCCCATCCTTAGTGACCTTGAGAATGACTCTCCAATCCTTAGTCAAACCCCATCCAGGTCAAATCTATTGCTGTTCTAAATTACACAGCCCATAGAGCTACTACCATACTAAAAATGTACATAAGGCTAAAATAATATACTTAAGTTTAAATACTGCAACAGATCAGTTTGATAAACTCAATCATATGACATAAAGAACAGAGATTGACATAGCAGCAACAACAACAAATTGTTAAAATTGATTTATTTATTACATAAACCAGCTGAAATATCTACAATTCTAACTCCATACTTGAGCAGCTTTTCTAAAATCAAATTGTTCTGACACAGGTCCTTCGATGGTAACCAACAGCAGAGCCTTTAGAACTTTCTGGGAGAGACTATTTTTTTTTAACTGTGTCTTCACTCTGGTTAATGCACTGAAACCTCTCTCACAATCTTCAAAACAAAAAATTATACACCAGTTAAATACCCTAGCTACTATTGGAATGTCCGATATAATGTCTAACGTACGTGTGAAATTTGAACTTGATCGATCCAAGCACGAGTGAGATATGGCTGGATATAGACGAATCGAACGAATACATGTACGGACGTCAATTCATAAGTCCTTGTTTTCGGACTGCGTCTAGACAGGAACCAACAAGAAGGTGCAATGTCAGTTTTAGATATTATTAAGTAATCATTTATTGCCATGGAAACTATAATTACATTTTGTTTGAAGTTTTCCAAATCATTCTACCTTGTTCTATTTATTTATTTCTATTCAGTCTTTCAATATATTGTTGAGTGGATCTAAAATGTCGACCAGGAACCATCAATCTGGCATCTAAAAAAAAAAATGTAGTAGCAAATTGGTCCTTCATTCTATCGAAAAGACATAATAAAAAAAGAAATTCACAGGAATAGAAAGTGTTGAAAAGAGCTCGTAGATAGATCTTAATTATCTTACCTATAACTGTCTTGATAGGATGGCAAGATGCGGAAAAACATCACAAATCATATGCAAGGCGGCAACAAACTTCCAATCTTTAAGGAGCTTGGCATTGGCATTTCTGTGCAAGCTGACAATCACACAGGGGTTGACTTGTCTCAACTTACTTCTGCTTTGAGTCTTAGTTTTATGCCACTATTTCTCACAACCATCACTGACACCACAGTGCTTCCAAAGCCAGCTAATTTACCATCCATTATAATATTATGACCTTCTGTAAATGTCTTGATTGCTATAGTTATTATTTTTGCCTTACCGTCTGGAAACTGGAAATGACAAATATGAAAATGTGTAAAAAGTTTGTTGATTAAAAAATAATCAATGAGAATAGACGCTACACGTCTGTTCTGGCAATATGGATTACAGCTAGAAAATACTTGCCTCAACTGTTCCTAAAAATGAGACTTTGGTGGTACATGTGCTATCAATACGCAAATGTATAGCATACAATATCAGCCGTTTCATTATTGCCATGTCAGTAAATTCATCAATCAGTAAATGGGCTTCTGTTGAGTTCCTTTACAATGTTTTGTCCGACAACTTCACCTACAATAAATAAATAAATAAATAGATGAAGAAATGAATAAATAACAAATAAGAATAAATAAATAATTATCGTAATTTGGAGAGGATAGTTCAAAAAAATGTGTTTTGGGGGTAAAAAAAATATCATTGTAAGTGAAATATTTTGCAAGTGGAAAAAAAACATATGACATATATTTACCAATGCTTAATATCATTCTTTGAATACTCCTTTCAGAAGTATAATTATTACTATGGACTGCATCAAGATAATTGCAGCCCAGTGACTTTGCAATATCCACAAAATGAACAAAGTAAATGCTATGAGGAATCTCTCTTTTTAAAAGAAAATACACATATCTCAGAGCTCCTAAAAAATATAAACAACCAAATTAAGTTGTGTACTGAAAAAATAAATGACAGGAGTTGTAACAGATGAGAAAGATGAAATAAAAATAAAAACACTGACCTATGAATGCTTCGTTTTCAAGCAAAACTTCATCAGCAGTTTTCTCGTGCTGCTGTATCGAATCTTCTCTGTACGATGTCGGTCAACGTCAATCTCTTTCTCAATAGAGGTCTGATAAATAAGTGTTTTATGTGAGTTGACAGTATTGTCAACGGTTGAACACTATTTTTATACATGTACCTCTAAGGGTATGACCCTGTTAACAAGGGATTTATCTTCCTCTTTGGCAAGATGCTAAACACTTTTTAGCCATTGTGGCTAAATCTAATTCACCCTTAGCAGAAGTCAAGTATAGTAGTAGAGATGAAAATATGAACCAATACTAGCAGCAACAGTAATTTGAGCATAATTAATATTCTTGGGGTTTGCATACTGTGTAGTATTGGTTGCTTTAACATAACCAGGTGGGATATAAAGTTTTAAAATATGACCTTTTTTACAGTATTATGCATTTTAAGGTGACACTGTGAACAACTTTATGTTATTGTCGGATGGTCATTCTATAACAAAATGAAAATTATCACGTGGCACAAGCCAGGAAAATCATAATATGCATTTAAAACTAAAAGCAAACAAGATGGATCTAATGGGGTTTCTTACAAAGAAATCGTTTGTGACGAGAGGAAAAATGACTTCCTATAATACTTGATTGATTTTTCGTCGGGATCTACATTCCAGCATGGAACCAAGTGGACATGACTCAAAGGTACAGAGCTTATGTAAAGACAGGAAGTTTGTATTTCCGGGGTCCAGGGTTTGTACATTGCATACACACATGCAAATCAGTGAGCAGGGGAGGCCGGTCCACAATACAAAAGGAAATTAATGTAGCTATGAGCATGGAAGTCAAACTATGTGACACGGTCGTAATTTACCTGTCATCGATTTTGGAAGCAGTTGATGGCGGGTCATCGTTCTGTTCATTGACATTGTTTGGTATTTCCCGTGGTATTCTGTTCAATCTTGCACGCGGTGTTGTAGGGAGACTAACTAAGTCTTTAGTCTTTTTAATTTTAACAATACCGGTACTTTTCCTACGACTCGCTCTTGTTGTTTGTTTTCTGGACGTCGGAGTCGCACTGCTGCTGGCTGCTTCCGATCCACTCTCATCGGAGCTGAAGAACTTTGCACTGTTTCGACGTTGTGTCCCTTTGGCGGATACGCCGTTCTTTCTTCTGTGCTGCGCGGAGATGATTAAGTTTTTTCTGTAAGATAGATCTGGTATGATCCGTGACAGGTCCTACATCCTGTCCAAATTTCTGTAGTTCTTCTCTAGTTCTTGATCCTCGTCATTCATTGAACTGGCTTGCACCGCAGCTCGCTTCGCTCCTCTCCTCGCCGCCATTTTGAAAACAAACGAATCACTATAAAGAGCCCGGATGTAGACTGGGAGTCCCCGGGTTTTCTGACCTGTGACCGGGCCTGTGACCAACAACGACCTCAACCACAATCCAGAATTAATCTTCGCCAGTCAATGTCCGTTTGTTCGGCATCACCTGAGACTTTATAACAGTTGTAATTAGGAAATCGTGCTATTTGGACGGTGAAATCCAACAATATAAGGAACAGGCTATTTTGAGAAATTGAAATTATGAGGGTGCATGGAAGAGTGTGAGCAGCCAGGTGTCACTCAACAACTGTGGACTTGTTCAGACCACCATGTTACTGAGCATCGTCTGAATCGCACGGTTTTGTGAGCTCGATGTGAGGCGATGACCAAATGAACAAACTTTGACTGGCGAAGATGGTCATGAGCAAATTTCAAGATATGAAGAAACACTTCCACAATAAAAAAATGCAAACACAGTCTCTTGCAAATCCAAAGATAAAATGCGAATTTTGACTTTTTCATTACATTTTGGTACTCGAAAAAATGTCCGCTGGCCCATTTTTTTATTCTGCGCCCTAATAGGGTATCTCAATTTGGTGTATGTAATAAACATCCATACCAATCTGATTCAAATAAGATCCTAGTTTTGACTTTTTTCTTTCTTTTTTTTCTAATTTTATTTTATTTTATTCTATTTTATTTGATTAACGTAACAAAAAAACATAAAAAATACAAAATAGTAAAAGTATGATAAATATATAAGATAAAATACACTCCGTACAATACGTCAGATTTTAATTAGATTGCATCCATACTAACTTGTTACGAGAAGTTGAAGTTCTGTTAACTGTTATATCAGGGAGAAATCTTTTCTCTCTGGGGTTCTCCACACTTGTCAGGGGGGAAACTCGTCTCGTCTCTCTATCTCGTCCCCTTGAGGTACGGGATCGGGAAAGTCACTTTAACTTTACAGTCAAATAAGACACACACAACGAAATACGTTTCAGCTCTCGTCCAAGTTGATCTTTTGGAGCACTCTATAAGACACAGCGCCCTGGGGAAAAGTCCCCAAGACTCTCACAAGGCTGAACCAAGACTCGCCCAAGACTGGACTGCCTCAAGGCTCGCCCCTGGACTGCACTCTCGACTGCCCAGGACTGCGTCTGTCGTGGAGTATTCGCCAAGACCAACTCAAACTCTCTTTATTCATTTTCAAAACTCTAACCAATTACAAAGCAGTAAAAAGACTCTAAGGCGTAACCTTCAATCATAAAGCCAATCACACTAAGTACTGAATACGTCATATCTTTTGATTAATCGTTCACTACATTAATAACTATGGATACCAACTGTCAGAATGAGTAGTCTAAAAAGCGGCGGTTATCTGGTAATTAGTTCCAAATCACTGAGCCAAGTTCCGTCCAAAACTTCAAATAGACCTAAACGATGACAGACATAACACAGCAATTCGCTAATAATCAGCTAATTAAGTCGACCAACAGATACGCGAAAACAAATTCATGACAGTTAATTGAACATCGAGTTACACTTTGGGCGTGGTTTCTCAAAAAATGGGCGTGGTCATTTGTGTAACTCGATGTTTTCGTAACTCGGTGTTCGTAACTCGAACTATTCGGCATCTCACTTGTTACTGGACTTGGATGTTTGAAATATACTGTACGTTTGGGAGATGCCGAATTGTTCGAGTTACGGACATCGAGTTACGAACATCGATCGATTAATTGTTCTGGATAGCCGAATGGTAGTGAAGATGTCCCAATATTTGTTGTTTCTACAATTACATATCAGCACCCATATTTTCAGTAAACTGCTAAAAAATATTGCATAATTATGATGATTAAAATCTGAAGAGATACATTGTAAACATTAATTTTTAAGTTACGTGACTTCAAGACTCCAACTAACCTTCACTATATATTTATTCAAAAACTTCTAAGCTATAATGGCAGAAAGAGAATGTGTTCAGTATGCTCCTAAATCATAATTTAATTCAAGTTTGTTATTAACACACAACAAATTGAATCCGACCACACAAATTATTTGTGACCTGAAAATTGGTTTACATAATAGCAGGTTTATATTTTTACCGAAAATGAGACTAATCGCAAAACTTTAAATTTCATTTGTTCATTTAAAATCATTTGTTCGAACACACGCAAAGGATTATGGAGTGGAAAGTGTCACGCGCGCCGGTTTTGCTCGAATGTTCTTTTGTCACGCTGATGGCATTCTATTCTATTTCCAAACCTGTTTCGTTTTGCAATAATTTTTTGAGTTTCACGAGTTAGAAAAGTCACGCATGAGGCATGGGAAATCAACAGTCTGAGTCCGCGGGTAGTCCTCGCGAATCGGACTCAGAGTCTGCGTCAGATGCAAGTGGAGATGACTATCTATGGAAACACATTCTAAGAGGAAACTATACAAAAGTTAAACGGTTTTTCAAAAGTGGATGTAAGGTCGATTGGGAGAGTTTTCTGAGACGGGGCAATTCGACATCGTACGAGGACGGTGTGTTTGGCATTCACAGCTCGTCAAGACTACCGCTCCAGGCGTTGCTGAAACGATGCAGAACTGGACGAAACATGACAAAATGTAAGAAATTCATAAAGCTGCTGCTCGAGAATGGCCTAGACCCTAATTTAATCGATAACGAGGGAAAGACAGCCTTAAATCATTTAATTACGAATGTGAATTATTTTCGACTTTATGTGCGCTGCTATCGGCAAGTCAGAAAACTTAGCAAAGTGTCGTGTGAAGTGTTAGCCATGCTTGGCGAGCACGGGGCCAGTATGATATCGGGCCAGGAATATGACAGCCTAGACAGATCACCGCTCCACTATGCCGCTATGTACAATTTCACCGATAGCACACAGGTATTCGCCAAACACGGAAGCGATCTGGAGTTGAACGACGCCCAGGGGAAGACACCTCTACATATTGCTGCGGAAAATTGTTCGTTTTCAGTACTGCGCGATTTAATACGCTGTGGGTGCGACATGGTGACAAAGACAAACGACGACGAAACTGTACTGCATCTTATAATTAAGGGAGCAACTACCGAGATAAACTGCGCACTCGTGTTCATCGAGTATTTTGTACGAAGTGGAGTTGATGTCAACGCTCGGGATGTTCGCGGTAATACCGCACTGCATTTAGCAGCACGAATCGGCACAGACGACAAAATAATCGCGCAGCTTGTGCGTAACGGTGCCGACGTTGACGCGGTGAACAACAAAGGCCGGTCGCCCCTGTTTGAATATCTAAACGGCACGGACCTTCTAAGCTATCCCCAGGTAGAAGTTACCAGCGACCAGAGATTACCCGTAGAATATATGATGGGTTTCGCATGTCTTTTGAACAATATGACGGACTTTCAACATATCGTTTGCGACCGGGATGGTAGAACACCTATCACCCTACAGGACCCTCGCGCAGAAGACTTACTGACGCGGTTGTTGGATAAAAGTCTACGACCTACAACCCTGCAACATTTGTGCCGACAAGCTATAAGAAACTCCATTGGCATAAATAAATTAATCGAAACAAAACATCTGAAGACTCTTGGTCTGCCTGGAACTTTGGAAAATTACGTTTGTAGCGTTGATTACGTGGACACTTTACTGGGATAACACGTATATTAAATATGTCGACATAAAAGCAGCATGATTATGTCATGTTTGTGAATATAAATTTTGATAATAAACTATTCTAAGAACCAACTTTTCTATTATTACATTGATATGTTCCTCGTCATTGTGATAGGCCGGAAGGTGGGAGGGGGCTTTTACATTGGAAAGGTATACGCGATGTGCTTCCCAAACGGGTTATTTTGTCCCCCGCCCTGGAATCCTGTAGATGTAGGTCAATTTTGGGAGGGGGGTCTCTAAACACCAGTAACATTTTGAAAAACTAAAAAAGTAGGCTTGTTGGGACCAAATTCGAACAAGGGCTTCCGGAAATGACGCACTAACACTTGAAATGCTCTTTTCGTCTCGGACTTGACATCTAGTCATTGTTACTAAAAAAAATCCTTTTCGGCTCCAAGATAGCGTTTTTGCAGTCATTTTTCAGACTAAAATTTGTCTACAGGATGGTCGATGTTTTGGTTTGGGGTGGCAGACCCCAGGCATTTTATTCGATTGCCGCTCCGGAGTGGGGTGGGGATACTAGTAGACCATGTATCACAATTGAGTCATTGTCGTAAAACCAGTCCCTTTAATGCACTTAAATTAAAATCAAATTCACTAAATTAAATTAGAAATTTACTTAAATGTTTTAATTCAGTTATATGTAATTTATTTACTTATGGGCAAATGTGTATTCTTTTGAAGTCACCTCTTGAGCTTGGAATAAAGTTCAATTTTATATATATATGACTTTGTCAGCCCGTGTTACGTGACCGAGCAATTGTTAAGAATTACTATCACCGCAGAAACTCAACTCAACTAGAGAGTGGAATGTCGAATGAATTCTAGTGAAAAAAATCGCATGATGAGTGATCAAGACGCATATTTTCGTACATTTACAGGCACCATATTCGTTCGTTGAGAACAGTTAACAATAGCGTTAATGTATCTGACTACTGTGAAATAATTTATTTTCACTTGGAATTAATTTTCGCTATTTTCGCTGAAGGAATGATTGTGAATATACCTATTTTCATATATTTTACATTCAACGCATCAAAAATCAGTGAAAATAATTCCATACAAAACACCTAAAATGTCTTTTCAGTGAAAATTAATTCCAGCTAAAATAAAAGATTTTACAGTAGTTCGAAAGGGTTCAGATTGCCTATTGTTTGTCCGCGCTAAACCACGCAACGGTCACTGTTTTTTCTTTTTTAAATTCTTTGTTATTTTTAAAGTGCCACACTGAATTATAATTATCATGTTGTTTTACTTATACCTGAGAAAAAACACAAAAAACACAAAAAACAAACAAACAAAAACAGTACACTAAAAATATTCGGCGTCAATTTAGCGTTAATGGGCGATTACATTCTCACTGTCGTTACAATTCCTTTCGAATGACCGTGCTATCGTATTACAAAGAACAACATACGACACAAAAAACACACGAGTTTCTCTCGAAGAGTTAAACCACCTGATGACGCATCCTCTATTCATCACCTAATTTGAATATGAATAGGAGAAGGGGATTGAGGCCAATTGCCAGAGGCAGTGTGAGTAATACCATTATGGAGAAAAACGCAATACGAGGCAGGTGAATCCGCTCCATAAATTACGTGGACTCACTCAAGGGTCATCACATGCAGTCACTGAATTGTTTATTTCACCATGGCGGCTAGAAGCCCGGACAATTTAATATCTTAGTCCTGATGAACGCACATCAATCGCTGTTGATGGTTTTCATTCCCGTTTCGGCTTATTATATGTAAATCCATCGAATACAATGCTTGAAAACAGGCTGCTACATGTGGAGATCCAATGACGATGACACTGGTGATATTATTTCACTCCTACTGTTAGAAATATGGTCGAATCGAACATTAGAAAGATTGGCGTAACTTCCAGTGTGTCGAATGCCCGTCACTGCCGACTGGCCCTCCGGGAAATTGAAGGTATGTAGCGTTAGCATTACACTCTCACCTTTTTCATTATGTCTAATATATATTATTTATTATAAATAGTATGATTGAGCAGATAACCTTTGACATTGTATCAATACTTGGAGATGAAACACTACAGCGTCTTGATAAGGCCGATGTCTAATCACGTACAATTGCCACCATAAATGCAGCAGTAATGCAATGAAATAAATATACCAGATGTTCATTTTAAATAAATATTATTAGCTGGCAATCTTTAAACACCTTGGGCGCACCTCGCACCCATTCGTACTAAATGTCAGATTTAATTATTGAGAGTAGACCAGTTCAGTCTACCGCGACGCGTTTTATGCTGCGTTTAAACATTTAATGCAATTAAGACTCCACAGTGAACGTAATGTCGGCGGGCAATCGCGTGGCCCACTGTTTATTGTTGCTATAGCGACACATCGTTCTTCAATTATTGTAATACAGACATCGATCACGTCATGAGACGTATTGTCACGATGAAATAAACAACAACCGATGTAACACTCCACTGACGCTTCTATTATCGATCTCGTTTCATTGTGTCACATTCAAATGGCCCAATTAGGGAATTGTCTGGTGGCGCGGTGAATGAGTCAATGTGGTATGATAAAACACACAATGACAACACGAACATTATGTAGTATATGGTGTTTTTAACCTTTTCACTACGAGACATTCCTCGCCCAAATGTTTCTTCACTATTTTCTTTTACTACTAGTATTTATATTTCTGGAAATGAAGCCTAATTTTGGAGTCAACAGACGAAATTTGATTTTATTTACCGATTTTAGTAGTCTAAAATTTGTGGATAAAAGAATTGTTCATATCTTATTTTAGTCAGTGAACGGAAGTCTGTGCAAAATGTCAGGACAGTTTGTACCGTATTTGCCAGTAGTCCGCCATAACGACTGTTGTGTCCATACTAGTATCAGTTCAACATAATATATACCGTCTTCGTATTACAATACAGTTTTACTATCACACCATGAGAATGATTGCATTAGAATAATAACGCCCCATGCATTGCATTGCTGTACTCATTGTTTTATCGTTACACACGTTCAAGCAATAACCGAAATTGAAATAATCGTTTTCGTATGACAGATACAGAATCAATCGTGTTCCAGCATCTCAATGCTTGAATTAGTATTATGAATACAGAATGTTTTAATATAATAAATGGCTGTCTCAGTATTGGTACACTGTGTTTGTATGGTGAAACCATTACAAATACAGTTTAGAATTATACTAAAATAAAAACAGTTTGTTTTAGCATTACGACGACCGTCTTTATGTTTTTAAATTACAATTTTACAAAGTGCGCATAAAATAATGTTATAGCTAAAATTAAACAAACTACCTCGAACATTTTGGCATGATGTAATTAAAACCAAATGCAGGTAAATCCATGTGCAATTTATGTTTTAGCAAATGAATAAAAATGTGGTAAGCATTTTGACCAAGTTTCGAGTAACTCGGAGTTAAAACATAACTATCATAACTTTATCAAGATCAATTGTATGGAATGTAGTTCATAATTGTTTGTTCATGATTTTTCATGTTTTTAGTTTAAATATAGTTATCTGATTGCGAAAGCACAATGGGGGGGGGGCAATGGGGATAGCTGGTACAGGTTACAGGAAATAAAAATGGTATTTTACGTTGTTACAGTAAAAAAAACTAGGTTTTTACACTTAACAGATAAAGCAAATTCGTAATTACATTTTACACTTTATAATATATTTGATAATTTGTGTTTAAGAAACAAAATGGGAAATTGTGTACGAATTACGACATGTAATGTGGAAAATGCTTTATACGTTTAAATAAGATCTTTGTACAAATTACGGACGAATACAATAGCTGATTACATTTTACACATTGCCCATGTCTACGAATTTACGTTTTTTATTTATTTAAATTACATTATTACGAATATAAAAACAATTGATTACAGCTTACGAAAATACCCCTTGCCGATCCTCAATGTACTAGTACAACGCTCCACCTTGCATATTGACACAACAATGGACCGTCATGGTCTTAGTATATTATGGACATAGAGTCGAAAATTAGTGTAATCCACATTTTACCGTTGTTTTTCTCAATTGTAGACATTCGTTTTTGTTGGGGAATGTGCTGTGGTCCCGGCCTTGTTACTGGCATTGTAACATGTGTGTATTTCCTGTTACTTCTTCCAGCAGGTAAGGGCGTTGAATAATTACTTTAGCAGTAGTATTAGCACAAACACGTATATAATAAAAGAATCGACAAGGTGATATAATGTGCGTGTACTCGCGCGAAAAACTTTAACACGAGCCGCCGTCATGGCAACTGTGTATCAGAACGGATATCTCTGTTTAGCTCCAAGGTCTAAACGGTCACCACATTCATGAGACTTTCGTTCGGCTTATTACCAAACGCTTCAGCGTGGTATTAAGAGTTTGTTTTCAGGGGTGGGTGATACCAAGGTGGGAAATGGATGCACCTATGGGGTTAATTCCTTGAATTGCAATATAGAGGGTT